AACCATTAAAAAGTTCTTATGAAATGCAGTTAATGAATACAAAAGGAGTGAATTTAGAAAAGCCATTTCAATTACCACTAAAATAACAAATTATTGATGTTAGGATACTTTATGCACATATCATATTAATACTATCTGAATTTCCTGAACAACTTCAGTGTATGAGAAACTGCATGTGTGTCTGATGAACTGATATGATAGGAATATATACAGCACAGCTTACTAAGTTATCCGGGGGAAAGGACTGAGCCCAATCTACATCTCTATATCTTTCAATTTATAGGAACTAGAGAAGATGGAATAATGAACAGAAACCATCATGAAAGATCAATGAGGCAAATTAATAATGGTGGATAGTCTACAAAATAAACCAGTATTTTGATTCCTAACAACTCAACGCTATGAAGGAATGGGGAAAACATGTGCATGACACTTTGGTGACGAAATCTCAAAGCAGTTGAATAAAGAAGTCTAGATGAACAGATGCTTATTCATGCCTGGAAGGTGCCAGCGGCTGACACTTTTCTTTACACTGACTGGAGATCCAACTCATCCCAAACCAAAGCTCCACAGGATAGTTTTTTTATAGTTCATTAAAAAGGTATATAGGGTTTGAAAAGAAAAGCAGCCAAAGCAATTTTGACAAAGAACAAAGCTAGGGAAATTCTACCATCTAGTTTTAAAACCTTCTAAAAGCTTCCAAACTCAGGATAGCAGCAGAGGAATTAGTCATAGATCACTGCAACAGAACAGGGCCCACAAACAGACCCAGATAAACATGGTCAGTTGGTGTCTAACCAAGGTGCAAAAAGCAGTTCAATCATTAAAGATACTCTTTCAACAGTTAACATTGGAACACTCAAACACAGACTGAAAGTTAAAATGTGAAGCTCATACTGTACATGAAATTACTGAATGAGCACAGATCTAAATGAATAATACAAAGTTTTATTATTTATACAGAAAAACTGAATGGCCTAGGTTTTCAGTAAAGAGTTTTTAGATGTGATAGCAAGTACAGGATGTATAAAAGAAAAAAATGATCATAATTCAAACATTGAGAACTTTTTAGTGGAAATAAATGGTGAAATATGAAAAGGCTACCTACAAATCACACATCAGACAGGATCATCTACCAGGAACAACATGAGCCAGGCTTGAGCAGCAGCTGGATCAGCAGAATGTCCTGTGACGTGTGATTCCCCTGGAACAGCAAGGGAAGCCTGTGAGGTCCTGCTGCCAGACCCCAGACGGTTTCTCATGGTCTCGCTAGTGCCTCTGAGCTTTCTGCCTCATCACCCTTAGGCATACCTACCAAGTGCTCAGCAGCAGCAGGGTCGTCAGACCCATTGGTTTCAGTTCACTCTGCTTTAAGGACACTTGAAAGCTAGTACTTTTAGCTACTCCTTACTTTCTATGCTAGTAATAATCCCAGTCTAAAAATACAACTAGCACATACACCGAGAATGGGGGAGGGGAGGGAGGAAAAGAGAGAGAGAGAGAGAGAGAGAGAGAGAGAGAGAGAGAGAGACTGAGACTATCAGTCTGGCTTTGCCCTGTGTTTCACAAAACCTAAAATAGACACTTTCCAAGCTCAACATTAGGAAAACACCCCCCCCCCCAAAAAAAATATGGTCAAAAGATTTTCAAGAACTCATCAAAGGAAACAGGTGGAAGGAAGATAAGCATTAAGAAAAGCTGTCCTGACATCAGTAGGACCAGGGAAATGATTAATGAAAACCATGAGACATCAAGGGGCTGGAGAGAGAGCTCAGTGGTTAACAGCAGTTGTTGCTCTTGCAGAGAAACCAGGTTCGGTTCCTAGCACCCACATGGCAACTCATAACCAACATCAGTTAACTCCAGGTCTAGGAGAGCAATGGCCTCTTCTGGCCTCCATGCCCACCAGGCACACACATTGCACACAGACATATATGCAGACAACACCCATATGGACATAATATACATTAAAATTTTAACAAGACATCAGTATATGCCTTCTGTAGTAGCTAATATAAAGGTGACTCTTAAGTGGATGGCAGAAAGTAAATGGTCCAGATGTCTGGAGTAAGTCTGCCGTGCTTTTATCCATGCATTTCAACAGTTCCCTCCTGGGAATTTAACCCTAAGACGCTAGATTTAACTTTAACCTGGACCAAGATCTCACAAAGGGGAATGAATAATAAATAAACTGTGGTGTGCTCATATGGGGACACTGCTTAACACCAAAGAGGAGAAAGCTATTGATTCATGCAAAATGCATGAGTCTCAAATGCAGTTTTCTAAGACAAAGACTTTCTCAAGAGGTTCTATGCTGTATAATTCCGTTTATATCCATGATCCAAGAAGACAGAACTATGATGACAAAGAACAGATCAGGGGGTGCTGGGGGCTAAAGGTATGGGAAGCTATGATATAAAGACCACAAGGGATATTTTGGTGAGCATGAAACTTTTCTGTATCCTGGTTGTAGTTATTAGAGCTGCACGAATCTATGAGAACTGAAATAATAAATCTATATATGCTAAAATTCTGAGAGCTGCAAAAAGCAATTTTCAGTATATACGACAAAAGGAAAAATATCCATTATTTTTTAAAGGAATAAGGGGAGAAACAATAGGGTAACTCTAATACAAGAAATTTAAGGGTTGATGCAACCAAATGGGATCTTAAAGTGTGTGTGTGTCTTATGTACGGGTGCCAGTGTAGGCCAGAGGACGGGATTGGATCTCCGAGTTACCGACCGTTGTGAACCATCTGACTTGGATGCTGAGAACACAACTCTGGTCCTCTAGGAGACAATACCTGTTCTTCACCACTAAGCTATGTCTTCCGCTCTCAAACAGAGTTTGTAGGTCATGCTTAGATCCTAATTTAAACAAACTAACCCCCCAGAAGGCATTTTTTTTATATAATCTGGAAATTGAAATGATCTTGAAATTACATGTTAAATTTAAGTTTCTGCAGTATGATAAGAGTTTGCTAGATATAAAAAACAAAACATTTCATCTGTTACATATGAATTCTGGAGTACATATGGGCACCAAATAGCATTAAATCTGGGGCTGGCCTCAAAAGACTTGAGGCCAAAAATGTCTATGCTAATGACTGCAAATATAAACTGGAGATTGGTTATCCTATGCTTTATTTTTAGTATAATTCTAACTCTCCAGAAATATTTCTTGAAAATAAAAGGTTTTAAATAGTATTTTTCAGCATTTATTATAAAGCAGTAGACATATATAAATCTTAAAAAAAATGAAAATAAAGCAGTAGACACAGGCCCTGCAGTTGTTTTCAATCTCAATGTCAAAATTTTCCAATGACTCCAAATAAATAAATGCTGTATATGCCAAAAATAATACTGACATGGAAAAAAAAACAATCTAGAAATCATATACTTTCAGCAATAAACACTAAGATTACTAGGTTAGTAAACATTTGCAGTTGGATTTTAAAATAGCAACTCAAAGCAGTTTTCAATGACACCACCAGGAAACAGGGGAAAGGTCACTGTAAAGCCACAGCTCAGATCCTATGAATCTCAGCCTCCAGACAAAACCATCCGAGCCCTTAAACTCTCATTAATATTTACAAGGCAATGCTTCCTCCTGCTTGCCCAGCTTGCTCTTTTGAGCGTTGTTATTATTTATTGTTTCTTGAACACTCAGCACCGCGTGGGATTCAGATGATAAATTTCCTCCCTAGGGGACACTACACAGTCACACAAACAGAGCACAAAGACTAGCTGTTTAAGAAATTAACGCCAAATGCAAAACTGAGGAGCACATTCCAATTTCTTTCTTTCCTTTTTTTTTTTTTTTTAAAAAAAATAAGGTTATAAATTCTAAGTCCTAAGGGAAGAATACTCATTCAAACCCACGGCTGTCCACCTCTATATTGCAGCCTTAAAGAGGTCAAAGGGGTAAGGGAGAGTTCTAGCACACTCTTTAAAGCTCCTGTTGGCAGGAGAGATGTATAAGTTGCAAATGTAATACTTAAGAAGAATTTAGGGACTAGAAAGATAGCTCAGTGGTTGAGTGCTTGCTGTTTCTGAAGAGCAATGGAGTTGAGTTCCCAGCACCCATCCTGGGCAGCTCACAACCGCCTAAAACTTTAGTTCCAGAGGATGCAGTACCGTATTCAGTCTCTGTGGGCACCCACACTAAAATGCATATATATTCTCACACACATAGATAGAATTAAAAGTAAAATCTTATTTTTAAAGAAGAGTTTAAGCCTGGCTTAATGGTACACGCCTTGAATCCCTGCAGAGACAAACAGATCACCATGAGTTCCAGGCCAGCCTGGTCTATGTAGCTTTTCTAGATCAGCCAAAGCTACATAGCAAAGTTTTTTCAAAAAAATAAAACAATTTGAACCCTTTTAAATGTTAATAAGTGTATACAAAAGGAGTTCAGCTGGCAACAGTGACCCCAGAGCTGTGAATTATGAGGGAAGGAATATCCAAAGATCCCACCTCTCATCTGCTATACCCATTTGTAGGAACAGTTGAGCAAGAGTGTATTTCCATTTTACAACTTCTCACTGTCCTACTATGTGCAGAAAAATCAAACTACTAAAATGTCAGTTTATAAATTCTATTTTTCTATCTAAGTCTTAAATATGATTTTCACACACTCATATTTTAAATGCTTACTTTTATCATACTTAGCCTACCTGGAATGTTCAGACTCTATTACTCCTAGTTTGTAGAAGGGTTAGTCCAGGCTTCCTTCCCAATGTGTTTAACAGCCTAGTTTACAGAAGATGCACAATATTTAGTAAATATAAATAAATCACACTGTTGGAAAATAAAAGTCTCTGCTTTGATACCTACCAACCTTTGGGGGTTTATGGATGATGAATTACTGAGTTCTCCTCTTTAAGTTGAACTGGAACGGGATCTGTTGAAAGCCATGTGTCTTAGCTAACAAACCATGCGTCTCCATCAGAACACACTCTCCTCTCTCAGTGCCTCATACACATTCAACGCCTGATTTGTTTTAAAGTTTTACTTTATTTTTAATTGATACATAATTGACCGTGTGTACTATATATGGTACCGTCGTTCTAGTCATTGTTTAAAAAGCATAGGGTAGGTGGTAAGATAGTATAAACCAATGTTCTAGGGGATTTGGAACAAAAAGTAGCTGAAATGACTTTCTGTGAATTACAATTATTTTGCCTTTTCAAAGTCTGTAAGTATTATTGTTATAAGAATATAATATTATTTCTGCCTCAACTTTAAGAATCACAGTGATTTATTCTTTTCAGAATTTGAAAGACAAGATATTAAGGCTCTCAAGTTAGAAAATTTTCAATATTCACTGTATAAAAGGTTAAGGCTTTTACCGCATAACTTTAGACTTTCTGGGTTCAAAAGTTTTATCGTTATCTTTATATTTTATTTTCTTCTCTTTAACAACCATACATAAAAACAGCTTTCCTATTTCCCCCCTTTCCAAGTTACAATTTATCTCAAGGAGATCTGAATCCAGATTAGCTGTATAATAGGATTCGGGGATGCAGGCAGATGTCTAGCTGTCACTGACGATCTGTCTCGCGATCAGCTCTCGCATTATTTCGTTGGTACCACCGTAGATCGGCTGAACCCGAGCATCCACGTAAGCTCTAGATAAACGAGAAGATAGTTGAATTGATGTAAACATGGTAGAAATGTTAAGTTCTAGATAACTACTAATTATTTAACTAAGGAACTCTCAGCAGTAAGCGCTCCTTATAACTGGTTTTTCTAGTCTGGCATTCATACTAGGTTGGTATACTAAAAGCCATTAAGATAAGACATGGTAATTCAAAACAACACAGGCACACTAACATAATTTTATAAAATTGAGCATATAGTGCTCGCTTCGGCAGCACATATACTAAAATTGGAACGATACAGAGAAGATTAGCACAGCCCCTGCGCAAGGATGACCTGCAAATCCGTGAAGTGTTTCATATTTTAAACCAGCCTACAAACCACAAACCCAAAGAATTTAGACAACAATGAGGACACTAAGAGAGACTTACATAGATCTAATCTACATGGGAAGTAGAAAGTAGAAAAAGACAAGATCTCCTAAGTAAATTGGGAGCATGGAGACCATAGGAGAGGGTTGAAACAGGGAGGGGGAGAGACAGGGAGGGGAGCAGAGAAAAATGTAGAGCTCAATAAGAATCAATAAAAAAAAAAATGACCATATATAACAACAACCTGAAAAGTCTATGTTTAAAAATGCATAGACCATCTTGGTTTCTTATCTTTTAGCCTCACCAGAAAGTTTAAATCAACTGACCTTAAGGATAAAAATAACTTATTTCCAGCCATTCCTTTTAATTTTAATCACTACAACCACCACCTGATACTTTAAGAAATTATTTTTCCCCCAAAGTTAACAAGTAGCTTATTCTGGGGGTGACTAGGTCACTCTTGTCTAAGTGGCTGGGCCCACTGGGACACACACAAGCCCATATCCAGGGTTCCCTTTTCTCTTGTTCTGCTGCAGGGAGGAAACCCTGACTAGCACAGGGACTGAACTCAGGACCTTGATCGGTGAGAGCTCTGCCACTGAGCCACGTCCCAGCCTTAGGACTCACTTTGAACAGCTATGGTAGCAACCATCTCTTTTCACCCCTTCTCCTTTCCCTGCAACCCTCTGGAATCCAAGGGAATACTTAATACAGCTTTGCAGGCGAAAAAGGAGATGTAGAGAGGCTGATGCATTTGTTAATTAATGATTACCACTTACTGGTGACATAACAGATAACTGTCCGACTGGAACAAGAATGTAGGTGTCTCGCCTCTTTGGCAAGAGAACTCTTATTAGGTCACAGTGCTTTCATTGTCCCAAGCCTGTGGAACTAGTTATTGAGCTCTGGACTTTGCATGGCAGGAACATTAAAGACCTTTCTTTCTCAAATACAAAATTGGGGCTTTAACTATTTAATTTCTAAGACAAAATGTGCACATGACCAACTTTGAGCTCAGACTTTCCCACATCGACCAAGGCACTTTGCAGATAAGTAAGTAGATCCTCATTTAATATTTACCTCCATGATGAACTGCATTATAAAGGGAATTAGGACGCTCAGCACTTTCTGAGATCTATGAACTCCACTCCCAACCCTGGAAGATTTTGTTGTTGCACTCGTACCCTATGAAGCCTTTTCCTGGCCTGCCTGCCTACCCGAGCAATCCCAATGCTTCAGACATTTTTGAGCTGGGTTGGGTATTTATTTTCACATTAAGGGAGTTCTACCAAGATATGCAATGACAGACCAGCAGACATTTCATAAGTTACCTATTAAATTTACTAAGATTAACAGAGAAAGGCAGTAGAGAAATGTTTAACTCCAGTGAAGTTTTCTGTCTCAGCTTCTCCACCTAGAATAGCTAAGAGATCTTCAAGGGTCTAATGCTAAACCTAAGGAATAAAACTAAAACCAACTCACATGCCAAGACTTGGCTATCTAAAAATCGTAAAAGGGAATAAAACACACCTTTTACCTATAAAGCCAAGACACAATAACTTATCTATCACTTTTTCCATCCCCCCTACCCCCACACTAATAATGTCACTTAACCTGGGGGAGGTATGAGAATCCCGAGTTGGATGATTTCCTAAATCAAAGTCTGTACACTATAGCCACACATGGTTTAATATGTAATTGGCTTCTTGCTATCATCATTTCCCACATCCTCAGGGGAAAGAAAAGACGTCTAGCCTGACCCCCCTCAAACTCCTGCAGCCAGGATATCCAGCCTGACCTGCCCCCAAACTCCTGCAGCCAGGACATCCAGCCTGACCCCCCCTCAAACTCCTGCAGCCAGGACATCCAGCCTGACCCCCCCTCAAGCTCCTGCAGCCAGGACGTCCCCACTCCAACTAGCTACCCTCAAATTGTGAGCCAAAACCAGCCCTTCCCTCCCTTCAGCTGCTTCTGTCAGGGGATTTTATCACACTAATAAGAAAAGTAAGTAATGCAAGGAGTGTGTGTGTGTGAGAGAGATAGACAGACAGACAGAAACAGAAAGAAGGGGGGATATGAATAACTTAAGGAATGACTCTTTTTTTTAGAAATGGTATATATTTTAAAGCCAAGCTTCACATTTAAAAGTCTGCTGGACTCTTCATTATCTTTAAAAATAAACTATAATGAGAAGCTAATAAAATAAAGCCACTTGTGTTTGCATAAACATATTCACTGAAAATGCACATTTTGGTATATTTTCCCTATATGTTTACCATATAAGGTACAGTAAGAAAATCTCATTTCTTCATATCCTTAAGAAAAGCATCACCCAGATGGTGGTGCACACTTTTAATTCCAGAACACCAGAGACAGAAACAAGAGGATCTCCGTGAGTTCGAGGCCAGCCTGGTCTACAGAGCAAGTTTCAGGACACCCAGGGCTACACAGAGAAACTCTGTCTTGAAAAGAAAAAAGAAAAGAAAAAAGAAAAGAAAAGCTCATAGTAAGAAAGGAGAGAAAGAAAGGGTGTGGGTTTGGTATATTAAAGGAAAAAAAATCTATTTTTAATTTTTTTAAAAAAAATCAGATTTTTTTTTTTTTTTATAAAGAAAGAAACAAAGGCATCATAGGCTGGGTGTGGTGGTGGCGGCTCACACCATTAATAGCAGCATTTGAGGCAGAGGCAGGTGGAGTTGTGTGAGTCTGAGGCCAGCCTGGTCAGACAGGGTTGCACAACAAGACCCTATCTGAGGGTGGGGAAAAGGGGAAGAAAAGAAGCATTGTAGACCCCCGTACTTACTTTGCAATCGGGTACTCCCACATATATCCCCAGCCTCCATGGAGTTGTACACACTGATAAGCTACGCTGTTTTGTAATTCAGATGCCCTAAAGGATGAAAATAACAAGCAGAAAAAGAGAGATAGTTGAGTTGGTAGAGTACTCACAAACCCTACAACACAGAACTGCAGTGGTAGTGTACGCCTGTAGCCCAGCACTCAGGAGGTAGAGAGGCAGGAGGATCAGAAGCTCAAGGCCAGCTTCTGCTACCTAGTGAATAGAAGGCCAGCCTTGATAATGAAGCTTTGCCTTTAAAAAGTTCTCTCACTACTCAACAATTTATAAACCATCTTTTAATAGTCAACACCATTATGTTCATAAGCCTGATATGTTCAAGAACAAGGCCATTAGCTATGCAAAATTCTCTTTCCAAAACCAAAAATATATAAAATTCTTTTTTATACCTTTTCCCGTAAGCCAAAGAACGTGTCACAGTTTACAGAACGTGTAAACTATCTCCCCCCAGCCCGAAGTGTAAGCTCATGGTAACGTCACATTCCTTTTTAATCTCATAATCTGGTCATTATAAAATCATTACACAAAGCACCATGCGCATATTTCCCTTGTCTAGCAATGACCAAACTGAACTTGAGTTAATAAATAACAGTGGGGAAAATTTTTATGCTGCTTTTGGGCTAGTGAGAAGAAATGTTTTTTTTGCTTGTTTGCTTTCTTCTTTAAGGAAACTATCTGATTTAAACCACACTGGCACCTTAAAACACATAAACACTTTACTGGGGTCTGTTCTCAAGCCCCCCTTTAACCGCACTGTTAACCATCCTTAATCCAAAGGCGAGCTTTTCTAAACTCAATAGGGCTTTGGTCAGACAGTTGATACTTAAGCATTTTCTTAGACCTGGAAAACACCTCACATTCTGTCCAACCTAAGAACTTCCCGGATAACCTAAAGCTGTCCCCAGAGACTTATATTTAGTTGGAGTTAATGGAACTCGACACTGCAAGACTCCCAAATTTTATCCTTCTAGTCTGTCTCACTTTGCTGCCTTTCTTTAGATAATTTGAAGTTAATCTTAACACTCGAAGCACTCACTGGTCCTACTTCAGGCTCTATTTAGTAGTTCACCTTTAACACAAGTGATGAGTTGCATACCGAGTCGAGTAATTTTTTAGGGCATTATAAACAAACCCAGCGGGACTTTCCAGATTATTTTAATGCTACTTTTCACTTGCAGACCTCTTCCTTTAAGGCCTTCAAGGGCTAAGAGCTGGGAGCATCCCATAGCCATCTGAACAAATACCACATTTAAATTACAGTAGTGTGCATACCAATATTTTGCCATGGAAGCTGAGCCGGAGTCCAGACGTTTGGCTTCATGCAGTTGCAGACAGCTGTCCACAAAAGCTCTGGTTACACATATGTTGGTTTTTAATTCTGCTAGTTTATGCTGCACCGTCTAGAGAAGAAAGGGGGAAAGGAGCATATTAAAAGCACAGATCTGAACTCAGCACCTCAAATGGTTACATAGGAAAAAAATGTTAAAGGAAAACAAAAGTCGAACTGCCGGGTTTTTCTTCCAACAAAAGGATACATGTTAACTAAAATGGAGAGAGAGAGAGAACACCCCTGTATCTTAGCATTTTAAAAGCTGTAGCAAATAAAAACAGGTAAACTCTTGGCATAGTTTAAAGGAAATGGCTTAAGGAACATCATGATTTAATGTGTTAGCACCATCTTGTGGTGGGAGCCGTCACGTACAGCTACTAAAACACCCTGGGGTTAAACAAGATTTACTGTGTGTTAATGAAATTAGGAGTATGTATTCCCCTACTGTGCCTCTTTGGCTTACAGTGAAATAATAAAATAACATGACAGAGAGGCAAGATGGATTGATCTAATCACAACTGTCGTCAAACACTTATTAGGTTAGTAATCACAGTTCAAATAATAGAAACGGAATAGGTAATAACCTATAGCCTCTCCCATCCCTCTGAAGGGTCTCATGTAGCCTCCAACTGGTTCTGAATGGTCTTATCTGCAAGTGTTAATAACTATGTAGCCACCCTCTCCTGCTGCTCACAGACAGCAATAAGCTTGGAGATCATTCTGTTTAGACCGTTCTCAACTGTCCTGACTGGTCTTCCTTCTGTCGAGTGCGATTTCACTGATCCTTGGCTCTAACACCCATCTGTTCTTGCTGGCACCAGCTCTTGAACCTCCTTCAGGAAACTGGCCTGGACCCGGGTAGAGCCTCCCAATGCATACCTATTCTCACTGAGGTCAGAGGCCCATCTGTGGCCAGCTGCCCCTCATTTCCTTGAGAAAGCTACAATTTGATCATGCTGCTGCGAGCTGTGTGAGACATCCATTGTGGCTACAGGCAGGCACACCCGTGGAGGCTTGGAAATGGACCTTCAGGGCCCACAGGCAGGCTTGAGCTCTCGAAGGAGGTTGTGAGAGCCGTCTTTCAGGGCTATGGGGGTCTACTTTTATACTTGTGGCCACGGCAATTCTCAAAGCTGAATTTTCAGAGTGACCAGTGCAGTGCTCGGGTACAATTTCGGTATTTGTTCATTGTTGGAAAACCAAAGAACGGGAATAGAGCAATGGGGGGGAGGGGGACTGGGAGAGAGCTGGGTATGCCTGTGGAGTGGGAGCTTTGAGGAAATGATGCCTCAGGTAGAGCAACTATTGTGTCTCCTTGTGGCTTTGCAGCACCCTCTTCTAGAAAGACTAACTGGCATTTAATGATTCCAAATCAACTGTAGCAAGGCCAGAGGCACCCAGCTGCCACCTGGGAGTCCCCGGCATCCCATGTGGAACAGATTTTTTCTAGCTTCGTTTCTACCTCTGTATGTCCTTTGGCTGGATATCTATCTATAATCAGCATAATGCTCCCCCTCCCACCTTACACATTCATGTTTACAAAGAGAAACATCTGAAAACATGGTCAAATCATTTCCTATAGTCATCAAAAACCCTGGGCCATGAATTCTAAGTCTGCCGCTGGCTTAAATCCATGACACTATATAACATTTCATTTGAGAGAAAGCAAGCTGGGATAGGGAGGAAAATCAGACAGTTCTCAAGAACTGTTGCCCCGTATGATGTTACATCTGAGGCTTTATGCACAATTTAGAATATGAAAAGGTCATGACCTCCCGCATAGGAAAGCGGCTCTACACAAATGCTGGGAGCTTCTAGAAGCTGAAGTTAAAATCCAGACCCACTTAAAATTCTTACCACAGAACATCCACTAGGTCCAGAGGTCTAAAAATAACAAATGCCGCCAAGAGTGCATAATTTACTGTCTGAAGATAAGGAGATTAAATATTTACATATTCTTGGCACTGAACTGGGAGCTAGTGAACAGAACTGGTCTTTGTTCTTCACGAGAAACAGCGCCATGCTTCCCGAAACCACTCAACTAATGGCTGCGAAGGATAACATCGCCCATTGGTAGGGCGCTTTTCATGAATGACCAACATGCTCACTGGAGCATCTTTAGTGGTTACAGATACCTGCTCAGTAAAAAGTGCAGCTTACATTTAGAGAGACTCTTAGCCATGCACAGTGGCATGGGTCTTAAATTATAACACTGGAGAGGCAGAGGTAGGGGGTCAGGAGTTCAAGGCCAGCTTACACTCTATGAGCCTCTCTCTCTCTCTCTCTCTGTCTCTCTGTCTCTCTCTGTCTCTCTCTCTCTCTCTCACACACACACACACACACACACACACACACACACACACAAGAAATCTCTGTAAGCAACTAAGTGAACTGACTAAAATCTCTCTGGACATTCTGCATGAGGGCCAGGCGCTGGGTCAGCACCTCAAGGCACTTTCTGGCACGCTTGCTGACCTGGAATCCCACCCCTACATCCCACACGGTGGAAGGAGAACCAGCCCCCCACAAGTTGTTTTCTGACCTCCACACATGTGTCATAGGTGTGCACAGCCCCCCCACCTCCCCACACACACGTGGGGGGTGGAGACGGAGAGAGTAAATAAACCAAATATGTAACTTTTTAAAAATTAAGCAATAAATAACACTTATCTTGGAGCTTTAGGATTTGAAGACGCCTTGGAATGGTTAGTAAGCTGAGTGACTGAAACAAAACTGTGAGTTGTTATAAGCATACATAATGATTTAAGTGTTTTCAAAAAAATGGACTCAATTTGGTACCTAGTCTTACTATTAATCAATGCCACATTTAAGGTCTTAGGAAGTAGACAGTTTTTGTTTGAAGATAGTGGACTGAAAAACATGTTTTCCTTTTCCTATTTCTTTCACAAAGAGTTTGTCTTTAGAATCAATAGTATGTACCACACAGGAAATGACGAAACACGCTAGTTAGTAAATACCATCCCATCTTCACCTCACCGCCCACAAGTGACTCTGTGGCTGGAGAAATGGCTCTGCAGTTATTGGCACTGACTCTTCTTCCAGAGACACAAGTTCAATTCCCAGCGCCCACATGATGGCTACAAACGTCTCTAACTCCAGTTCCAGGGATCTGTCGCACTCTCTTGACCTCCATGGGCACCAGGCACAGGAAACCACATGGTGCACGCAGACAAACGCCCATACACATAAAATAATAATGTTTTAAAGAATGTAAAGTCTAGAATAGAGCATCTGTGTCGTTTTAGTTTACTTAATCTCTCTGCCTTAACTGCTTTATAAATAAAGATAATAGTAATAACTATTATATACAGTTATGAAAAAAAGATAAAATTGTATTAAACACGGTGTCTAAGAAATGGAAAGCAGTTAATAAATGATACATATTATTATTATTATTATTAACATCTAAGTTATGCTGTTTTATCAGTTAAGGGTAAATCATGAGCTGTGGTTATCACCCACGGAGCCTTCCTGTAACTCCTGTTTCTTTATTATAGTAACACTCTGATCTACAAAGGAGACGAATTTTGTGCCATAAACCTGAGTAGGCAAAGGAGCAAAACGTTCAAGAATTATAGAAAGAAAGGAAATATAATTATGTTAAAGTAGCATTTGGCCAATCATAACATGGTATATACAGGTTATCAACTTCAGTTACTAGAACCAGAGCGCAGTCAGCTCTAGAAGACAAGACAAAAGACATGTATTAGTCATCTGTTTACTGCATGCATTTCTAACTTGAATTATGAAAATATTCAAAGAAACGTACTAAAGAAAGTTGAGAGAAATCCCAACGTATTCTTATTAGGAAAACAACAGTACTTTACATAAAGATATGACGCTGCAGGAAGCTGGTGAGATGCTGAGGGAGTGGACAGCTTACTACGTAAGCACGAGAACCCACAAAAAAGCCAGGTGTGCTAGTTTGTCCCTGGAATGCATCCGCACATAGTGGGTGCACAGACAGGAAGGCTGCTGGGGTTCCCTGCCAGCCGCTCTAGCCAGACAGTGTCAGGTTCAGTAAGAAACCTTGTCTCAAAAAAACAAGCTGAAAAGCTGTGGAGGAAAATACGGAGTCAACCTCTGGCCTCCGTACATGTCTACACAAGTGTCCTCACCTACACATTCGTGCGCGTGCTTACCACACACAGCATACATACAACCCCCACTCACAAGTATCGAGACCAGTGGTTCTCCACATTGCTCAGGCTGCTACCCTTGAATAGAGTTCCTCTCGTTGTAATGACCCCCAACCATAAAATTTTCCCATTGTTACTTCATAGCTGTTTTACTACTCTGATGAATCGAAATGTAAGTATCTGATATGTAGGATATCTGATATTTGATCACTGTGAAAGGGTCATCCCACCCCAGAGGTCGTGACCCACAGGTTGAGAGCCACTGACTGAAGATTACTACTGCCACCTACTGAAAATCTAGTGAACTACTCGTGTTTTGTGGGAAGGTAACACAACACATGCTTTGAAAAACAGGCATATTTATCTTTTGTTACGAAAATAAAATATAGTTATGTATTACTTAATAAGGTGAATCATTTGAGTAATAGGCCATTAAACAACTTCGCCATCATGTGAGCCTAAATGGTACAGGTCAGATGTTTGGCGGAGCATCTTAACAGGCAAGAGACAAGGTGAACAACGAAGTCCGAGGATGCTGCTGGCATAACACATTATTTTAAGGTAAACTTCCTTCAATGAAAGAAGGGATGCAACCTGCGACAGTGACAATAAGTACAGCATAATACACGAGCAATAAATGCATTATCAAATATTACATCCTGCCTAACTGAACGCACTGTGTCTGCATGACTGATTGGCTGCTTACTCCAGCAGCGCCACCATCACGTGGAGCTACCATGTTTATGAGAGGCCCATCGCCAGGTCTTTTGTTCAGTCCATCATTCATGACTGCATTGTTATATGTACACTGTTATAGTATATGACTATATTTTAAATTATATGCATTTATTTCTTGTATGTATGCATGTGTATATGTATGTGTGTGGGCACAAACATGGCACAGTACCTGAGCTGAGGTCACAGTTTTCAGGAGTCAGTTCTGGCCTTCTACCACGTGGGTTCTGGGACTCGAATTCAGACTTGGTGGCAGATACATTTACCACACCGAGCCACCTCACCAGCCCCCATGACTGCATTTTAAAGGAACCCTTTTCTTTTATGGAACAAGAGTACAGATCAGTTGCTACTTCCTTTATGGTTAAATGTCTAATAATATGCTTTGTGGATTATTCAGGAAATATGGGTAGCATACTTTAGAGATCTATTTATTGTGTCTCTGTGTGTGTCTGTGTGTATGTGTATGTCTGTGTGTGTGTGTGTGTGTGTGTGTGTGTATACGTGCACATGCCCATGGAACGCAATATTCCAAGCACTGCCCCATCAAATTTTTACAGTAATCACACAAGGTAGGTACTAATATTATTCATAAATAGAAAAATATTTCTACTTTTGAATAAACACAAGTCTTATACTTCATAGTAAGATTTTACAGTTTTGCATATTAGATGAATTTCTAAAGTTTAGAAACAGGAAAATACTTCTTCCATAACATAGTTTGCCTTGACTGTAGAGATTTAGGGAGCCTTGTGAGGATGTAAGCACACTTGGCCACAGCGCTCAGAAGGTTGCTCCTGTAATGCTATGCAGACATCCCTTTACTACCTCCCCTGCACAAAGCCGCTCCAGCAGGTTTACTTTAAAAGGCTCAGACTTAATGTCAACCCTCAGCCGCGGGCGAGAAGTTCCTCCAGCATGGGGGCTGTGTGGTTCACACAGGAAAGCAGGGACTCCAAACTTCCATGTCGCCCTCCCGGTCTTCCCTGTTGGCCTCTGCGACAAGCCTCCCCTGACCTGCCTTTTCTCTTCTCCTTTCCTCCTCTGCTTCTTGCGTGATCTTCCTTTTCTACGTCACCATCAAATCTGTTTTCTTTGGGATCTGCCGTTGGCCCTCCTCTTATCTCAGCGTTCCTACACTCTCCTCTAGGCATCTTGTCTACTGTCATGTTTCTAAAGCCTCCCTGCAACAGAACCACACTCAGCATTCCACCCTGACGCAACTGTGATGACAGACCCGATAAACTCACCTGTATGTGTGCGACTGTTTTCCCGAAAGCTTTTCTCTGCTTAACGTAGTTCCTGGTTTCTTCGAACATGAACTCACAGGCAGAAATTGCCAAATCTGCAATTAACAGCCTTTCCTGGAACCCCAAATGAAGCAGTAAGCATTATTACACAAACGATTTTCATACCATTTCAATGAGTCCTATAAAAGATTGCCTTAACAAACTACTAAAGCTCATGTTTTAACTTCCTTCTTAGTGCTAAGAAAAGGCTCCCCAGGCCTGTGGTGATGGTGATACAGCTAAGACAAGGCCACACTGCTTGGTTTTTATCCACACTGCCTCCACACACACGGAGTTAGCTCCCACACTGTCTGCACACACACACACACACACACACACACACACACACACGGAGTTAGCTCCCACACTGTCTACACACACACTGTCTACACACACACACACACACACACACACACACGGAGTTAGGTCCCACACTGTCTGCACACACACACACACACACGGAGTTAGCTCCCACACTGTCTCCACACACACACACACACACACACACACACACGGAGTTAGCTCCCACACTGTCTGCACACACACACACACACACACACACACACACACGGAGTTAGCTCCCACACTGTCTGCACACACACACACACACACACACACACACACACGGAGGAGTTTGCTCCCATAGCTGACTTTTCCTCCTGGTCTCCTACACACTAGTGCATCAATGGAGCACTATTCCACATTATCAAGTCCACAGCGCAAATTCTACCAACCGGCGCAAAAATAGCTTTAGTGGCCGAATTCCAGCACGCTGGGGGTTTCTGTATTCTACTTTACTACCAGGGCCACTGACTTCTGTCAGTTTCCTGTTTAGATGGAGCCATAGCCACCATCGGATGAACACACTCACACCAGCATGTGAGCGCCAACAATTAGGCAATTACGACCCCAGAGCACAGACCGCGATGTGACGGATCTTTCTGTTTAACACTTTCCCCCCTGAGTCACAGTAATTTACAGAAGTTCTTCACTTAAGAAGAAGCCAGAATCATTGCAAGGAAGAACGACAGAAATAAAATAACTATTTTCCTCACTTTGGTTACATTTTGGTTGGATCCTGCCAAGATCCGTTACTTCCTTATCTGACCTGTAACAGTGATCTTTCTTTATATGCAGTTTGATACTCAGATGCCTGTTGTGGATCTATACGGCTCTGTTTCTGTTCAGTATCTCACCGGAAGTCTCTAACCAGCAGATGGCCATGTTAGGCATTTAATACCTGGGGGAGCTCTTGCATGAGGTAGTAGAAGCCTTTATTCTCTTCCCCAAGTAGGGCACTAGCTGGCAGTCGGACATCTTCAAAGAACAGTTCTGCGGTGTCCTAAGAAACACGGATCAAGCAGAGAATGTGTGCATTGGTTTCGCAGTAACCCAGTAACATTCACAGTTCCACAGAAGATGAAACAAAGAAAAACTGGAATGGACGTGGAGATGGAGCGTTAAGTAGTGAGCCATGAGCGAGTGTGTTTATCTAATTCCATCTCATCCCACCGTGTGTGGATTTCTCACTGCAGTACATCTGTCATTCAGGCTTTGACACTGTCTAGTCCTCTGGGTCCCGGGAAGTGAGAAAGTCTACCACACATTAAACATGCTTTCTGGTAATATATACCAAAATACTCTTATTATGGCATAACTTTCTAAATTTCACAGTCGGTTATTACAATTACAAAAGCTTACATTCCCATTTCTTCAACAGATACTCAAAACTCCTTGACTCCTTCCCGTTGCTGGGCACAACCGAGGCAGGGTTTGCACCCCGGCAATCAGCACAGGAAGATGCCGGAAGGATGCTCCATATCCGCTTTCTGTCGGAGAGTGAACAATGAACTTCCAGATCCGATTCACACCATCACCTACCTGAGCTTTCATTCCCATCTTGTGCAGCTTCCGGCCCTTGATAAATCCTTTCATTCCGTTCTCCACCAAGAAGAGGCTAATGCCATGGGCAGGTGATCGAGCTTCACGATTGGTTATGGCGACTACAATCACAAGGTCACTTAACCAGCCGTTAGTGATGAACACCTGCAAAAACCCAGATGCACTGTGATGCCCTGTAATATTCTGGTCCATGAGCAAGCCAATCCTGGTGGGGGCAGGGGCATGTACAAGAAGACCAGCACCGGCAGGAGGGGCTACCCCATCCGCACACACAGAATGGCCTATTCACAATGAAGGCTAGCAAACAGCGAGGGGTCACCATGCAATACCGAAGAAGACACATTTCTCCACTACTCATGTGATAAATAACAGGAAACAGATTATGGCTCTAGAATAAAAACCAAACTTCCCATTCACTTGGTAAACTGAATTTTAGAGGAGAGCCACAGAGAGGAAAAGAGAATTGGCTTTTAAAAAGTAATTTAAGTATACTCTTCAAAGGATGGGTTTTTGAAAAGACAGTTTGGGTAGTGTTTTGTTTGTTTTTTTTAAATAAAGATTGACTACTTTCAAAATGGTCTAAATAAGGAAAGCATTATAGTTAACAGACACCTCCTTTTGCACCTTGCCTGGCTTAGTCACCCACTGAAACCCCATAGTTGTCTATTACTCATTTCTATGAGACAGGATCTCACTAGGTAGGTGGCCTCAACTTGTGTAGCCCAGGCTGGCCTACAGTTTAAAATCTTTCTGCTTCAGCCTCCAGAGTGCAGGGAATAAAGAGAAGCGAGGTGTGTACCTCCAAGCCCAGTTAAGCCACATTCCTTGATATGATCTAGACCTGCACGCCTACCTGGATTCCATAAAATGACTCACGACCACAGCACATCCTTCCCACCCCACACTCCTACCTAATAATCACTTACTCTCCACGGCAGCGGATGCTTTGATCAACTACACTATCATCTGCTTCACGTTCAGATTGGCATGATCCACACTGGTCCACTTTACCGTGAGTCTGTTTACTTCCATTTCTCCTGCTAACATTACATTATTTTCCCAACCATCACCAGTTCTTACACAAGGTTCTGTAACAGCTCTCACTACAACGCTATCCACGCATCAGGTTCTCAGAGGAGCCGTTCAAAGGCAGCCTGACCCACCACGTCCACACTCCAGCATCCTTGAATAGCTGGGTTTCCAGGCTCATTCCAAACCCTTAGGGCAGGCACATTAAACTCCTCCCAAACAGAGGGCGGTTTACACCTCCTACCTCTTCTCTCCTCCTAGTGGTCTCCATTTTCTGTCCCCGCCTCACCGCCTCAGCTCTCCTGAAGCTCCTGCTAGTCTCACACACGTCTTTGAAAACTGCACTTCCTCCCCATGGAGGCCCTTCCTAACTCTGACAGAGTGACCCTACTCATCTAGGTCAGACTAAGGTCACATCACCTAGAATTCTTCTCAGTCCTCCACATCAAGTTAGGTACTCCTAATGTGCCACCAACTTTTCACCACAGCAGGCTTGGTGTTTTGGTTTCTACAGCATCAAAACCAGGGCCTTGAACATAGTAGGCACTCTCTCTCCATATCCACAACACCTAGGACACTGCTTCTTAAAGTATATTTAAATAATTTCAGTGATTCACGACAGTCTATAAAAGGAAATTATCTAGGATACAAGATACACTGTCTTCAACTTTTGGAGACTCACAATCCACACGACCACAGAAAAGAATGAGAAATTCTCCACATTTTTCCCAAGTTATTCTGTACCGCAGCTGCTGTTTTCCTGTACAGGAACTACTCACGTCAGAAAACAAACTGTTATTAGACACTAACAACATAAGTTAGAAAATCAGATTTTAAGGAACCTGACAGTACCACAATATTATTCGATTTTATAAAGATAAAAGCATTAACTTAAAGCATGTAGAAAAAAATTTTAAAAACAAACACAGCACAGTTGCATATGCTTGGACAGATAGCACAGGAGGATCATGAGTTCAAAGCCATCCTGGGCTGTGTAGCAAGACCCTGTCTCAAACAAACAAACAGCCCAAACAATAACAACGTCCACCATCTCCCACCAGCCGCAGAGTGATAATATTCTAGAAAAACCCTGGGTGCAAACACTTGCACCAAAAGAAAAAAAAGCAATCAAACAAGAAAATCCATCCACAAACAGGCCTTGTATTAAAAACAAACATCTTTCCTAACATTGAGTCAGCTGGAGCATTTCTCCTCGGGCATGTGTTTGCTCTTGAGCCAGGTGTCCATGCTTGGGGAGTTCTCCGAGTCTACAGTAAGTTGATTCTTAATTACTATAGAACCTGAGGATTCCTGAAATCCTATTGCCTGCACATTTATCTCCTAAGATCTCTTGAAACTTTCTGATATTTACTTGAAACCTTTTCTTTCAATCTTTCTTTCTTCCATTTTATGTTTGGTGTTTTCCCCTGCATGTATGTCTGTGCACATGCATGCTATACACACGGGAGCCAGAAGAGAGGAGCAGATTCCCTGGAAGTGGACTTACACCATGTGGGTGCTGGTAATGAAACCTAGGCCCTCCAGAAGAGGGACCAGGACTCTTTAACTGTTGAGCCACCTCTCCAGCTTGCTCTTAATCTGTTTTTATAATATTTATTTACTATTTATTTGTTTGTTTACATATGTGTGAGGTTTCTCCTCCGTCACTCTCCACCTTGTTCTTTTAAGGCAGGATCTTTCCTTAAACCTGGGGCTTGCATTTTTCACCTATGCTGATAGCCAGCAAGCCCCAGTGAGCCTCTTGTCTCTGTCCCCTTCAGCGCTGGGGTTAAAGGTGTGCAGGAAACCACACCCGCCTTCACCCAGTCTTCCACCAGCATTAAGTTCGTTTGTCCCACTCTGGGGCAACAAAAACTTTTTTTCATTACCGTTGTTACCACCTCCTCCTCCTCCTTCTCCCTCTCCCTTCTCCTCCCTTCTCTGTCTCCTTTTTGGTTTGTCAAGAGTTATCTGGAAGCTAAAGGAACCTTCATAGTATTGGTGGAAGGCCAAACAACATGGAACATAGAAGAGACTAGCTATAGATTCTGCCATATAAAAACTGTAAATGCCTTACTACCCTGAAAACTCAAACAATTCCCGTAGTGATCTATGGGATCACTTGATCAAACAAGTCCTTAGAGTGATCATGTCTTCAGGTATGTGCAGGCTTTAGAGGAAGGGAATCCCTTCTTTACACACCTTGCTTCCATTGAGAATCCAATCACTCCCAGATCTTTTGGCATTTGTTCTTACTCCTTGTAAGTCACTACAATGGAAAACAAAGAACAATCAATTGGTAATAATCAAATTATGTTAAAACTATTGCATAAAGTCTCATGTATTAAAAATCCTAATATTAGAAATGGTCACAGAATTGCACTAAAACTACATCTGACACACTTTAAAGATCTTACATGGATGAATATGTGACGAGTTAATGAACTAAGCAGACTCCGCATGACTCACAGAAGTCCAGCTATATTTAAGAACTCCAAAGCAGACAATGGTAACATGCTAAGAAGGGTTGCTATCTCCCTAAACTATGAGTCAACATGGACTTACCTGCCTTTATTTGGTTCTTATTACTATCTTTTCATCAAAAACTTAGGCATTTAAAGGCCAGGGGCTGGAGAGATGGCTCTGAGGTTAAGAGCACTTGCCACTCTTCCAAAGGATCTGGGTCTAGCTCCCCAGAACCCACATGGTAGCTCATGGCCATGCATAAGTTCAGTTCCAATGCCTTTCTCTTATCTCCATTGACACCTGTCATACATGTGGTACACATACATAGATGTAGGCAAAAAGAGTCATATACAGAAAATAAATCTTAAACATTTTCAACTGCCTTCCTCCTAACAAACCAACTCTAAAAGGAGTGTATCTTTCTAAATGTGAGCAGTGAAGAGCATTGGCTGCTCTTCCAGAGGACCCACACTGGGTTCCCAGAATCACCACCTGTAACCTCAGCTTCCAGGGAACCTGATAACTTCTTCTGGGAACCTAAATTCACACGTACACATCCATCCACACTCATATAAATACACATAACTTAAAAATATAAAAACATTATTCAAAAAAGAAATATATCAATTTACTTTTGGTCTTTTGAGGCAAGATTTGCTATATTGTTAGGCTGTCCTAGAATTCACTATGTAGCCCAGCCTGTCCTCCAACTAAGAATCCTCCTGCTTCCACAAGCACTGGGATTCCAAGTGGCTACCATGAGGCTTGGTCTTCAAAAATAATTTATCTCCTGAATTAACATTCTTAAAATAAACCCTTTTAATATTTTCTAATGTATATAAACACACATATGTAATATATGTATGTTTATAAAAATAGAGCCACGATTTTGATCTTTATAGCTAATATTTTTCAGTGAGATAATCTGTTGAGACAGGGCCTCTCTATTATGTAGCTCCAGCTGTCCTTGAACTTGCTTGTAAACTAGGCGGGCCTTGAACTCACGGAGAGATTCACCTGTCTCTGGTTTAAAGGCATACACCACACCCGGCCCTATAAGATAGTTTTCATTTACATAAGGGCTTTTTTTTTTAATTACATGCTTTATTTAGTGTAGTGTGTGTGTGTGTGTGTGTGTGTGTGTGTGTGTGTGTGTCTGACCATCTGTCTGTGTATGTGTGTGTAAGCATGCATGTAGAGGTCAGAGGCCAACTTTTAGGAGTCACTTCTCCACCATGTGGGTTGGGAGAGGAGATCAAACGTAGGTTATCAGACTTGGTGGCAGGCATCTTTACCCACAAAGCCATCTCACCAGCCCAATCTTTAGTTTTTCATTTTCATTAACACTCTACAATGAATAGCACAGTGTATAACTAATCCACATTACATTATTGTATTGATTCTTGTATTTTTATACTCCATAGTCCTTAAAAAACACTTTCTACATTAGGATAAATAATACTACCCACCATTCCAAAAACACCAGGTCCCAATTTGGGATACCTACATTACATCATCTGGAAAAATACCTGGCAGATGTGGCCAACTTAAGGATTTCTGAGGCAGAATGACTATCATGGAGAAGATCTAAATGTTACAGATATCCTCAGGAGGGGGACAGCAATGTGACCCTTGGTAATAAGCCAGTGAATGCTAGAAGCCTCCAGGAAAAGTCAGGGGAAAGGAGTGAGCTCTTCCCTTTACCCTCGAGGGGCTGTACAGCCCAGCTAATACACTGATTTGGGCCCAGAGGTACCAAATGTGGATTTCTAGGCCCGAGAAATGTGAGTGAAACTCATTTAAAGGCTAACTAATGTCAAATTCCAATGTTATAACTTTCACCATTAGGATCAGTTCCTAATCTGTACATGAATTGTTCAAGTAGCTGCTCCAGAGACTGGAGAGACGGCTCCTCTGACCCAGCACCAGCAGCAGGCAATTCACCTGCAGTTCACAGCAACTCCAGCTCCAGGGAATCTGATGCCCTCTTCTGGCTTCCATGGGCACCCATGCACAGACATCATACAAACAGACACAAACACATAAAAGAATAACAAAACCTGCTTGCTCCATTCAGGGACATAAACAGGTAAAAAGGTAATGAAACAGGTTAGTGGCTGCCCTTTAAACTTGCCATGGTACACATGACACACAGAAAATGGTTTAAACAGATACAAGCTAGTAACGACAAGAACACAGACCCTCATAGTATCCTCAAGTACACCTCAGTTTTCCTGATTCTAACATTGAGACTAAGGGATTTCCATATCACAGACCTGGTGTCATAATATCTCAGATACAAAGTAATCATCAATTTGCTGTATATACTTCTTTCAAAAGAACTTACTCATTTTCTTTTTCCTCTTAACATGGGGGCCATAATAATTCTCTATCTTACATTAATTACTATTGCCAAACAAGGATGTGAGAAATCAGTGTGCGAACACCAAAAACCCACAGCATCGTGCAAATACAAAAGTCGCCTGTGGGCACAGGAGAGGAAGGGCTGGTGAAGCGGAATGGTTTCCAGCAAGTGCAAACATTTAACAAAATTATTCCCATCTTTATCACTCTGTGTGTGTGCGTGTGTGTGTGCATGTGTGTGTGTGTGTGTGTGTGTGTGAGAGTGTGCCAAGGCACGCCCACCTTGTGGAGCTCATTTTCTCCTCCCACCTTTACGCACATTCCACTCAGGTTACCAGGCTTGTAACACAAGCATCTTTACGCACATTCCACTCAGCTGTTACCAGGCTTGTAACACAAGCATCTTTACCTGCTGGGTCAACCTCACGGGCCCAGCAACGGCAACCTTTCTATGAGGCCAAACCTAACCCATCTCTGATATACGGCAAAACAAACTGTGTCCCAGCTTCTCTATTCTTTCCCTCTCATACACGTGTCCTTGTTTCTCAACATTTTGACATTCATCTTCATTCAAAATGTTTCTGGTTTCGCACTCTCTTCTTTTTCAGATGTACAGCCTCCACAGCCTGTGTCCAAGAGTTTTACACAGGCATCTTTAACAGCCCACTCAACACATCCAACTTTAAAAAAAAAAAAATAGATCCTGCTAAAAACTCACCTCATTTCTTACTACTGTTTTCATTACACCACAATTATATCTTGAACATAGCAGATATTACAACTGTTTTGCCACTATTTGCATATAAAAATGCTTGTTTTCTAACTGTAGTTTCACACTGTGAATTATGCTGTGTTCACTTTCATCTGGTATATGGCTCAGAATCGCCTATAAACTGCACACATAGTATCACCTTGTACACACAGGGCCTTGGGGAATTGGTTCCAGGATCGCTATTCCCAGATACCAAAACCTACAGATAGCTGCATAGAATCTATATACATATGTATGCATACTTTAAATTTTAATTTCCAGATTATTTATAGAACCCAGGCCATTGTAAATATTGGGTAAATACTTGCTATGCTTTCTAGTGACTAATGACAAGAAAAATGTTTACACATTCAGTACAGATGAAAACATTTTCAATCTGAGATTGCATAAGTCCATAAATGCAGAACCCATATTTATGGAGAGCTATGGAGTACACCTAGGAAATATTTCCTGTTAGGATACTGTTTCCGGGAATTTAAAACCACCGAAATGCTGACTTACCTTCCAGCACCAGGCTCCGTCATTGCTATGGCGCCGATGCACTTGCCTGCCGTCATCTGGGGGATGAAGCGTTCAATCTGCTCTTTTGTGCCATAATTTGCAATATAGGGCATGACAATATCTGAGTGGAGACTGAACCCAGGGCCTGTGCAGTTTGAGTATGCTCTTAGAACAGAAAGAAAGTGGAACCATGAAAGAGCTACTTGGTTAAGTTTTTCTAATTTTTAACTTTGCTGCCTAGCATAACAAAGGTCTCACTGTGCCTTCTGATGAGCCCACCACTTCTCAAGTGCCGTCTCTGCTTTCACTACCTTTAAATTGTGGCTCTAACGTGGTGATGGCGCTTTAGGAGCCCCCGCCCCACAGGCACTCATCTGATGAACTAAGAGATTAAACACTGACCGCCTGCAAGTCTATTACCCCAGCACTGCAGCTGTCTTAGTATGGAGAACAGCTTGGGGATGCGTTCTAATGTAACTGCACTCAATTTATGAACTTTCTCTACTGCTTTCCTCGCAAATTTTATGATTAAGCCCCGTGGCTGAAGGACAGCTCACAAAGCAAGACCTCGCTTTAAACGTCTCCATACTTACTGCTCCTCCCAAGTAATCGCCGTAGAGTACAAGTCTCCACCGATCCCGCCATGCTCCTCTGCAATGTTGACGCCCAGCAGGCCTTGCTTGCCAGCTTTCTCCCATACCTCTCTACTCACTTCTCCGGCTTTCTCCCATCTGCAAGAACAAACTGGACGTCAAACAAACCTCCTGAAAATTATGGAAATGGCCACACTAGGCACTTGAGGTTTGTGTAGGAACATGACCTTAATTTAAAGTAACAGATGACATGGCCACGGGCCTTTCAATGGCTCTTGTGTCATTTCTCCTGTTCTTCTTCCTTATCATTGCCACCTTTTGCTCCCTCCTGATCTACTGACTAGACCTGTCATGTATACCTGCTGCTCTCATAGGTACTTGATACTCTAGGGAGCAAGCTTAGTTTTTACCACACAGCCATGAGATCTCCCTAACAAGACTTGAAAAGATTGATTTCCACATATTTCCTTAAAATACTGAATTTAAACTAGGCATGGTGGTGCTCACTTTTGATCCCAGCACTGGGAAGAAGACGCATGCAGATTTCTATGAATTTGAGGTCAGCCTGTTCTACATAGAAAGTTCCAGGCCAGCCGGAGCTACACAGACCCGTCTTAAAAGAAAAAAATTCATAAAAGCTGTTCTTAACTAATATTTAAATTCCATTTGGGATGTGGTAAAATTAGTGAATTTTGAAACACAACAAAGTTCTATTTTAATACAAATGAGATTTTCTTCAATAATAAAATGATTAAGCAAGAGGTACTGGTACAGAGGGCTAAAGAGCTGGCTCAGTGGTTAAGAGCAGAGAACCTGAGTTCAATCCCTAGCACCCACACAGTTGTTCCTTAACTACAGGTCCAAGATGCATAGGATATACAGAAATGTATTCAAGCAAAATGCTCATACATATAAATAAATCTATAGGACTTTTTAAAAACAAAATCAGTGGTAAAAATACTGAGGTGACCAATTACCTACCAAGTGGAACTATGCTGCCCTTTCAACATTGACATACTTTAATTCGTTCATAACAGAAAAAGAAAGATTATAAATGGACTAAGGATTTGACAATTGGCCACAGGTTTTTTTTCGCTTGTTTTTTAAATGTTTTTCTTGGTTTCCTTTGTAAATCCACAAACTTTCTCACTCTTGAATGACACACTTTACAAGGTCAAGTGTGATGGCACAAGCTTATAGCCCCACTCATTCTGGCACCTGAGGAGAAAATATCTGTGCCCAAGAACTCAAGATCAGTCGGGTATAGAAAGTGATATATGAGGACTCCAAAAGTAAAATTAATATTAGCAACAGTAATAATAAAATATTTACCAAACTGAGATATCTATGATCTCAACAGTATTACAGTAAACAACAGTGAGCAGGCAAAGAGAGCACTCTCTGCATCCCGTGCATGGCATCCTCGGAAAGGATCCTTTCCCATGTGACCTTATAGTGGGGAAGCAGGGGAGCAGGGCACTTACTCTGTATGGTATGGAACCACTTCTTCCTGGAAAAACTTCCTTACGCTTTCCCGGAAAATGTCGTGCTCCGTCGAAAAGATTCTTCTGATTCCAATATCAGTTAATTTTTTAGCAGAAGGGGTTTCCAGGCGTGCGTTTGCTCCAGAATGAGAACATCTTGAAGAAACAAGCAAGAGGAAGATTAAATCAACCTTTACTTTTGATATCCGAATGAATGCCAGTGAATAACAAGGAACCCTGAGATATGCTTCCGGCAGGATCTCCTCACCTCCTGGACCCTCCCCCACCCTCCCACCACAACTGAAACGAAAATCGCACTTTGTCCCAGTTCAACTGCCTCCATTCAGAAGTCTGCAAGGTGGAGCATGCCTCGCTCTGGCTATGTGAGCTTGGGTGAGTACACTGTTTCCAAACAGCACATGGACTCAACCACAATAGAATAACAGTGGCAAACTTTTACATCACATACAATTTTCAAAACAACAAGCAAACCCTCCCAAAGCAACAGTGTATCCAGAATCACAATTCCAAATAGCAGGAGCATACAATGTGAACTGTGTCAATGTCACCGGCACCCTACAGTGTCAATCAAAATGCCCAACAAGGCTCTGTGTGGATTTGTAGGGAATTCTTTAGGATCTTCAGCGGACATTTCCCTCTTCCCTCCAACCCTCTCTTCCTCAGGGGATATAAAAGGCCTTTCTCTCAGTTCATCTGCATTCAGGGTTTTGTCCTGTTTCCCCCGAGCTCCCCATAGGGGAACAGCCCTCCGTACGTCTTCAAACTTCTTTAAAGAAAAATCACTGTATTTGAAAACAAATATATGGGTTTTAAGAACAGGGTTAGTCCATTAACCCTGGTGGTGACCTTGCCCTTCACTGTGACGTGAATGACGACTCCCACATCTGACATTGTGTTCTGGGCCACACATTCAGCGTGGCCTGGGAGCTGGTTTCAGCAGGTATGCTGGATTTGACTTGGACTCTTAGAGAGAGGCGCGCATCCTGTACATTTGTTCAGAGCAGCTGCTATCGGATACAAAGCCCACTACTGGGTAGCCAAAGAGCTCCAGAGAGCCGACAAAGGACTTAAAGATCTTCCAGTCTTAGTTTAGTAAAGGTCAAACCATGTTTCACACAAGAGATTGGTCACCATGCTTATGAGGGTCTAAGGACTGATCTTCTCTTACAACATACAGGTGATGGCAACATGGTGGCCAACTTGGCCAGCCATTAATAGAGAGAAGTTCTGGAAGCCTGTGGCTATCACATGAGCCTAACCAGCAAGGCACTGCATACAGTAATAGACATGAAGTTCTTCCCTTTTCAGGCCGCGATGAGACCTCAGTGCTCACTAGCTGTCCTCCACCCCATTGCTGCTGCTTTCCAGCGAGTAAGTCTTGCTTTTCAAATGCTGGGTGTCTCAAAAAGTTAATACATATTAAAATGTGGAGAGAACTTTTTCTGCTGTGTGTTAAGTTCTAAGTTAGGTTTGTCTCTTTCTTGGGCGGACCCATTTTTTTCATTAGTCTTTTTCTAGAAAAGATCCATTTCTTAATTACACAAAGTAGAGCTGATGATTTAAATTACTTAGGAACTTTTGATAAAACATTAATACTTGCTTCTGAAATAAGTTAATACCCAAACCAGATAAAGGTCTAACAGAAAAGTTAAAGACCAAGCTCTGGAAGAGCACAGACCCCTCATGGTAAAAGTCATAAAAAAAAGTCATAGGGATGAAAGAGCATACCTCAGCAGGATGAAGACTATATATGACAGCCTATAGTCAGTATCATGCTAAACATAGAAAAAAATCAACCATTCCTGTTAAAATAGAAACAAGACAGAGTGATCCTCTCTCCTATTTAATACAACAGTGTTTGAAAACTTGGCTAAGCAATAAGACAAGAAAACAAAATAAATAGGATGTAAATAGAAAAAGAAGTCCAAGTATCTCTACTAACAACCTTAAAGACTACCAAAAAACATGCATAAGCCCTCTCAGAGCTAATAAACACCTTCAGCAAAGTAGCAAGATACAAAATTAACACACAAAATTCAGTGGTTTCCTATATGCCATTAACAAACATACTGAAAAAGAAAACAGGGGTCCATTCCATTCACAGTACACACACATACACACACACACACACACACACACACACACACAAGGAATAAACACAAAGAATAAACGACTTCTACAGTGTAAGCCTTAAGACACTGAGAAATGAAACCTAGGATGACAGAACACGGAAAGGCTGCCTATATTCATAGCTCAGAAGAATTAATATTATGAAAATGCCTATTCAATCAAAAGCAATCTACAATTTCAATGCAACCCCAACAAAAAATTCCTGGGCTAATTTTTAAAGAAATAGAAAAAATATGCTAAAATTTATTTTATATAGTTTATATGGAGGAAAAAAATATATGGAGGAATAAAACAGCAAGGATAACCAAAGCAATCCTGAACAAAAGAAACTGCTGGAGGCATCATCACCTATCTCAAGTTATACGGCAGAGCCATTGTAAAAGAAACAGCATAGTAATGCAGCAGAACAAACACACAGAACAATAGGACATGGGACACAAACACACAGAGAACAATAGAACATGGGACACAAGCACAGAGAACAATAGAACATGGGACACAAGCACAGAGAACAATAGAACATGGGACACAAACACACAGAGAACGATAGAACATGGGACACAAGCACAGAGAACAATAGAACATGGGACACAAACATACAGAGAACAATAGAACATAGGACACAAACACGTGTGCAGGCATCTTCAACTCCCTGATCTCTGGTAAAGATGCCAACAAGTATACATTGAGGAAAAGACAGCCTCTTCAGAAGATGGCGCTGGGGCACCCATATAGAAGACTAAAACTAGATTCTCATCTCTGACCAGGCACAAAGCTAAACTTCTAATGGATCAAGCGCCTCAATTTAAGATCAGTATCTCAAAGCTCACAGAGGAAAAGGGGGGTATGCTTCGACACACAGGTATGGTTCAGGGTTTTCTAAATAGGACTTTGTTAGCACAGAGCACAGGAATAAGATCAACCACCAACAAATGTGACCTCATCAAACTAAGACGCTGTTCAACAAAGAAAACTGTCAATCAACTAAAGGCAGCTGCCCACAGAATGGAGAAAGTCTTTGCCAACTCTACACCTGACAGAGGCTTAGTGTCTAGGAGATACAAAATAAATCAAGCAACCCAATTACAAAATGGATTATGAAACAATAGAAAGATGTCAAAAGAATAAACACCAAAAAGTAAAGGCCTAACAAAGTGTTCAATGCCCTCAGCCATCAGGGAAATGAAGATTAAAAGCTATTTTAAAATTCTACCTTACCTCAAAAGTCATCAGGGCTATCAAGAATACAAAATGACAAGCTGGACATGGTGGCGCACACCTTTAATCCCAGCACTCTGAAGGCAGAGGCTGGTAAATCTCTGTGAGTTCCAGGTCATCCTGGTCTACAGAGTGAGTTCCAGGTCAGCCTGGTCTACAGAGTAAGTACCAGAACAGCCAGGGCAACACAGAGAAACCCTGTCCTGAAAAAAACAAACACAAAACAACAACAACAAAAAAACACGAAAGGACAACTACCCCTGGCTGGGCTGTGGGGACAACTACCCCTGGCTGGGCTGTGGGAACAACTACCCCTGGCTGGGCTGTGGGTAAACCATTACACACTGCTAGTGGTGGGAAAGTGGAAACAGTGGAGAGGTTTCCTTAAAGAAAAGAAAACAAGAGAAAAAGAGAGAAAACTAGAAACAGAACTACCATATGACCCAGCCATACCAAGCCGGCGCACATGCCCAGAGATGTGTATCCTATCACGGATTCTTTTTCTTCGTTTCTTTTTTAATTTAGTTATTTTATATCCCGAACACAGCACAGTTTCCCCTTCCCCCCTCCTCCCATCCCCTCCCTTCATTTCCCATTCCCTCCCACCACCTCCACTCCCTGCTCCTCTATTTTTGTTCAGAAAGGGTCAGGCTTTCCTTGAGTATCAACAAAGCATGGCATCCCAAATTGTGAGAAGACTAAGCACCTCCCTTGTATTCAGTCTGGGTAAAGCAATCCATTGTGAGGAGATGGTTCCCATAAACCAGTCAAAGCATTAGGGACAGTTCTTGCTCCCATTATTAGGAGTCCTAATAGTAGAGCAAGCTATGCAACTGTCACATATACATAGAGGGCCTAGGTTAGTCCCATGTAGGCTCCACCGTTGTTGGTTCCGACTCTGAGTTCCTATGAGCCAGGTTAGTTGAATCTGTGGGTATTCTCGTGCTTTCCTCGACTCCTCTGACTCTTCCAATCCCTTCTCCCTCTCTTCAGCAGGATTTCCTGAGCTAGGGATAATGTTTGGCCATGGGTCTCCACATTTGTTTCTATCAGTCACTGAACGAATGCTCTCTGATGACAAATGGAGTGGTTACCAATTGGATCACAGGAGATGGCAGGTTCAGGTTACTGAACCCATTATTGCTAGGAGCCTTTGCTGGGGTCATCCTTATAGATTTGGGGGAGTTTCCCTAGTACCAGGTTTCTGCCTGGTCCTGAAATGCACCTCCATTCCAGTTATTTCTTTCAGTACTCTTCCCCCTCCATCCACACCCCAACCCGATCCCTCATGTTCCCATCCCCCTCAGCCCACCCAGGAGCTCTCTTCTATTTCCCCTGCCCAGGGAGATCCATGTGTCCCCCTCTTGGGCCCTCCTTGTTACCTAGGCTCTCTGGGGCTGTGGATTGGCAGCATGGCTACCCTTTCCTTACAGCTAATATCCACTTATGAGTGAGTACACACCATGTTTTTCTAGTTCTTCTGGGTCTGGGTTACTTCAGTTTCTAGTTCTATCCATTTGCCTTTAATCTTCTAGATGTCATTGTTTTTAACAGTTGAGTAATACTCCATTGTGTAAATGTACCACATTTTGGGGGCATCTAGGTTGTTTCCTGGTTCTGTGTATTATGAATAAAGCTGCTATGAACACAGTTGAGCAAGGGCCATTGTGGTTTGATTGAGCAGCCTTTGGGTATATGCCCAAGAGTGGTATAGCTAGGCCCTGAGGAGCTGGGTCTTGAGGAAGACTGATTCCCAGTTTTCTGAGAACATGCCACGCTGATTTCCAGAGTATCACAGAGATTCTTACACCCATTCATTGCTCCTGTACTCAAAGTCAGAAAATGAAATACGCCTACAAGTCCAACAAGAGATGAGTGGATAATGAAAATATATATTACTCGCTTTTCTGTTGCTAAAATACCATCGCCATAGAAGAACGGGTTTATTTGGGCTTCTGGTTCTAGAGGGATGAAGGTTGGTTTATTTGGGCTTATAGTTCTAGAGGGATGAAGGTCTTTTGCCATCCTGGTAGGGAAAGTGCGGCAGTAAACACGTGGCTGAGGCAGGAAGCTGAGACCTCGCCTTTGAACCACAAACACAAAGAACAAAAACCAAACTGGAAATGTCTACACAGCAGGGCCTCACCCCCTCCTAAACCTCACTAAAGGAACCAAACTGGTGGCCAAATTTTCGAAAGGCCAGAGAGAACAGGGCACAAGACTTGCAGCTGGCCACATAGATCACAACCATATCAACGAGACATAAGTTCACTTTATGTTGCTATTAGATAAACTTTTTTTTTTTTTTTTTTTGAGACAGGATTTCTCTGTGTCATTCTCTGGCTGTTCTGGAACTAACTCTGTAGACCAAGCTGGCCTTGAATTCACAGAGATCTCTGCCTCCCTGAGGGCTGGGATTAAAGGCTTGTGTTGCCACCACCACCTGGCTAAACATTTTAAAGTACGTGTTCTTCCGTACAGTTTTCCCATACATTGGTCTTCCCTCCACATAGAAACAATGCTAGGACCAGAATACTGTGCTTCTTAGATTTACGTGGGATCGTTTAACAATACAGAGACAGAACTTATGTGTAAGTCTGCCTGGATCTTAAAATATTACATGAAAATTTCTGACCTATTTCTAAGCACAGAGAAAGAAATGCACAATAAAGAATAAAGGCTTTCCAGTTCAGTCAAATAAAGGAATAAAGGCTTTCCAGTTCAGTCAAAAGAGCTGAAGGGAAGGCGCAGTGGGCAGAAACCAAAACATTTACTTGGCAGTTAAGTTTGTTGGAACATCTATTTTCAGTTTTGAGACATCTGTACTGAATAAACCAACAAACTTCAAGTTAGTCTATTGTTTTCTCTGCCTTTTAAGTCAGGGTCTTACCAAGTAGCTCAAACCAGGCTTCAAATTCCTATGATCGATCTCCCGGCCTGTGTGCTACCTCTTTAAAGCCTCGTTTACATAAAAAACAAGGAGGAGGAAACGAAATAGCACACTCAGGCCCTGGGAGTTGGCTATAAGTACTTGCTCTTTGCTTCACCTAGGCCTCATTCCATAAGTGCAGAATCAGGCGGCTTTCAACAAGATTGTTCATCATAATGCTCGTAAAAGTTTAAGAAACCTATGACGGTAAAACTGTAGCTCCTGACTATTTTCCAAGGTAGTTCCTCCCCATAAGTGAATCAAAATAAGATCTTATGGGCGGTCTTTAATTTTAAGAGCGCGAAAAAGACCTGATCAAAACGCAGAACATCGCTTTTTCAGAGTGTTCAGACTAGAAAACATTCCGTTTTTAAAGTCCTTGAAACTTTTTCTTCTCCTCCAGCCCACCCCCTCCCCCCATGAGTAAGCATTACCACACTTTTATGGTACTTCACAACAATGTGCTAATTAGCTCATTTAAATGCCCTGCCTCCCTAATTAACAAGGCTTTGAGCTTCCAGTTTGCTTTATCCAATGAATGGATTTTAGGATAGGTAAAACTTTTGATCTCAACATAAACACCCTTAATAGTCCATAAAGCTCTTGCAAGCTGCCTATTAATCCCTCTACATTTAATCAGTTTAAGGACTGGCTAATAAATCCACGGCCAATTTATCAGATGGGGCCCACACCAGGACGCTGGAGTCGGAACTATTAATGTTGCAGCCGTCTTCCGGCCCGCGACTCCGCACAGAGTCCCAAGTTCACGGTCAGGTTTGACAGACGCCAGCCTGTTCCAAGTGGGCCAAAGGCCTCAGCTACTCCGTGGCAGCGCGCCCGACCTGTGACCGCCTCCGCTTGGGGCAAAGCTGGGGCAGCCAGTCCCCGGGACACCCGGTAGGACGCGGGGCGAGGCCCGGGCCCGGAGCGAGCATTCAGCCGGAGCTTTGCCTTTTGGGGCGCGGAGGTTCGTGGCGGGCAGCGGGGTGGTGACACCCCGAGTTCGCGCCGCAACGGGCAGCTCCAGGTTCCGGAGAGAAGGCCCCGGGCGCGTCGCCCTGACCCGGCTCGGCCGCCACACCCACACCCCATCCCCGGAACGCCGCGCCCCCGGCTGCCTGCACCCCGGGCTGGACCCGTACTCACCGGGCGGAGGGCGGAGGGCGAGGCGCGGAGCGGGCGCTCAGGACGCGCAGGGAGCGGAGCAGCAAGCGCGCAGCCATGGCGGGACGGCCGGCGGAGGTCTGGGCTCGGGCTCTGCAGCGCGGCGGACGCAGGCGGGACAGCCGGGCGGCGGGGCGGGCCTCGGGGGGACAGCCAACTGCGGCCGCCGGGCGGGGCCGTCAGCTCGGGCGGGGTCTGAGCCGTCCCAGTCCCGCCCCGGGACTGAGCGAGGGGAGCCCCCCACCCCCCAAGGGTCCTGACCGCTTTGTGGAGCACCCAAACACCCCAAAGATCCGCACAGACATGTGCAGGAAATCCATTTCCTAACACTGGAGGGCTCACTTCACATAGCCAACTATATGAATACTCTCTGTAAAGAATTGTGCTGGCTTTTTGTTTTATTTTGTTTTTTCCTTGCAGAAGTTTGTAGCTACCATGAGGGGGAAATATATTTGATATGAAAAAAAAAACTTAACAGCTAATTTAATTTTACAATAGTACTTGAACTCGTATAGGCATATAAGGTCGTTTCTTTTTCTTTTCTTTCCTTTTTAAAAGTTCAACGAAATTTGTGGTAATTAAGCGTATGAATTTGACGTTTTGTCTTAGAGAATGCCTGAGAGGATCTGAACTCCAAGAATGTCCAGATTAGATTTCTAAGGAGGCAAAGTAAGGGGCCTTTCTAATTCAAGGTGTAGAACAGTCACCGAATCTGAAATATTGAAATTAGAGAAAGATATTTTGGGTTAGAAACCAACGACTGACATACAGAAATGTTTACAAGGAAAGTTTAGTACTTCACAGAACCAACAATCTGGGAAGGCATGAAGTCTTGTTCGCTCTTTTAATTTTTAAAGATATTTTAGATTATATTTATTATTTACTGTGTGTATGTAGATGCGCTGTGTGTACATCTTGGTGTGTGTGCGCATGTGTGTGTGTGTGTGTGTGTGTGTGTGCACGTGCATGTGTGTGTGTGTGCGCACGTGCACATGGAGTTGACAGTCTAGGTCATGCGTCTTCATCAGTCGCCCTCCAGGTTTCTCAGTAAACCCGGAGCTTATAGATCTGTCTGGCCTGTCTGTCCAGTGAGCTCCAGACATCTACTTGTCTCCGATCCCCTAGGGCTTGGCTTCCAAACTCAGGAAAGTCCAGCTAATGCCTGGGTGAAGGGGTGTAGGGGATTCAAACTCAGCTCTTCACTTTATCCATAGGAACCCCACCCCCAGCCTCCTCGGATTTTTTAGGCCCCAAAGTGTGTGAACCGGTAGTTTCCTCCGAAGGTCGTGTGTCTAACGAAATGCCAAATGCTGCAGCACTTCAGCTCCCAGAGTGCTTGCTGATTGAGTTCTACACCTGTGCATGCACTGGCCTCTGCCCTTTCGAAGGATGCTCATAAAGATTCTTTACAATCGAACCCTCCTCGTGTCTCTCTCCCCATTCAGAATGGGGAATGAAGGCCAATAATGCCACGTAAGACGGCACTGAGCTAGGTCTACTGAGGACTTCTCTGCGGTTATTGGGCCTTAATGATGTCCTTCAATGCTAAGCCCGCCGCTGGCTATCTTTCCAGTCTGCTGGTTTCTAGTAGGGCTAGAGGTACACAGTCAGAGAACATTTCTTTTAGAGGCTAAGAATTAATGCAAAGTCCTAAGGGAAATACTTGATTTCACAGTCAAAGATTTATCCACGTATACAGAGGCCTGCTTTATTATAATGCACATTTGCAAAAACATAAGACTCAGTGAGCTTTTCTTGCTTCTCCACACTGCCTGACTGACATCTGAGCCCAGGTTTGGACTCTGACCACACCACCTTAAACGGCAAGCTTTCCGGATTGCTGTTTGGCTTCTAACCCTGCTATTGTGCAGCCTAAGCTTAGATAATCTCCTGTCTCTCTTTCATTTTTCAAAATTAAATGAGCTCAACGTCAATATGTACATCCAAATTACTTTGCTGGCTTACTGAGAGAAACGTCAGACATGAGCAAGTTACTCTCCTGTTTGCCCATTCCTCAGACACTAACGTTCTCCTGTTTGCCCATTCCTCAGACACTAACGTTCTCCTGTTTGCCCATTCCTCAGACACTAACGTTCTCCTGTTTGCCCATTCCTCAGACACTAACGTTCTCCTGTTTGCCCATTCCTCAGACACTAACGTTCTCCTGTTTGCCCATTCCTCAGACACTAACGTTCTCCTGTTTGCCCATTCCTCAGACACTAACGTTCTCCTGTTTGCCCATTCCTCAGACACTAACGTTCCGATGCGTTTGCTGCACTTACAGAGGTCTTTCTGAACCGTGTGAAGACCAATTGTATATATTATGCCCCCTTCTCTCTCCTGTTATTTCCTAAGAACAAAGGAATTGCCTTAATAATCATAGTAAAGCTATTGAATATAGACACTTAACACAGTAGAATTCTGGTGTGTTTGTGGAGACAGGTTCTCACTTATTTCTGATGGACCTGGATCTTGCTATGTAGACCAGGTTAGCCTTGAACTCACGGAGATCTGCCTACCTCTACCTTCCAAACACACACATAATTTGCATTCATCCTGCCACTAGGAGACAGTGGCAGATTAAAGGCATGTGCTATCATGCCCAGTTTAGGTAAAGTTCCTCAAAACTTTACAGTCTTTTCCAGTTTCAGCAAATCTCCAGTCACATCCTCTCCTTGCAATGAGCTTTGATACAGAACCCCACCCAGGGCTGGTTTTATATCCCGGTCCTGGAATGAACTTCAGGGCCTTGTGTGCCCTAGCAGACACTGCACATTGAGCAATACGGGCTCCTCCTCAGGACAGTTTCCTGCTCTGGTCACCATGCGCCAGGTGTCTGTTTGGCTTGATTAGTTTCATTTTCTGTCTGTCTGTCTTTATCATTCACCTTCTAGAAGTAACTTAATCTGACTGTGTTTGCCTTTTTGTGTTTGTTTGTTTTTGTTTTATCTCCAGTGTTTCTGGTGGCAGAATTAACGCAAACCACTTGTGTCCTCAGTCTTGTTCTGCTTCTTCACTAAGGCTAATTGGGTCAAGTTTGGTTAAGATCTTGTTCTTCAGGTTTCTTTATCATAACGTTACTGTTTCCTTTTTTTTCCCCAAATATCAAATTCTTTTTTTTTATTTTTTAATTTATTTATTTATTAAAGATTTCTGTCTCTTACTGTTTCCTTTTTATAAAATAAAAACAAGGAAGTAGCTCTCTCTCTCTCTCTCTCTCTCTCTCTCTCTCTCTGTGTGTGTGTGTGTGTGTGTGTGTGTGTGTATTCCTGGGGCTAGAACTCATTCCTTCCACATCCATGCAACAAACCAGCTTTTAAGCATAGAATCAGCTGTGATAAAATGATACAAATGGTTAAACAATAAAGCTGAGCATTGGTGATCTTGACTTCCTCACCTTTTCATTTATCTTATGGCGTAATAGGAAACACATGGACAAGAACATTCTAGACTGAGGCTGAAAAGTCTTTTGAAGTTCTCTAATCTCTCTGTATCTCCTTTCCTTATTTGCCGCATGGAGATATTAATAGCATCTACCTCACACCCTTGTTGTGAAGCTAAAACAAAATATGTAGAGAATCCATTCTGCGCTCAGTAGGAGACAGTACACAGTAATTGTCATGAATGTGTCTGCTGACCCTAAATCTAAGAGGAGGGTATGCTCTGCCCAGGTTGCCATGGAAACATAAAAGCCAGAGAACCTGACCCTTCCTCTGATTCAGTTCCCATGCCTTCATTTAGGAAGGGTTTGCAGCAACTGATCCTGCTAATCCTTATTATTTTTCTATTGGATGGTTTCAGTGGTCCTTGTATTGTTTTTTGACCCCAAGTGGGAGAGAATGGAATAATTATCTCTTCTCTTTGTTTCTTACTCTTTCAATCAGAGAGAAAACTAGACAGATAATGTCAAAGCCTCCTTTAGTAACACTAGGAAAATTCTGATATCAATATTCTCTAATCCAGAATTCATAAACAACACAGGGGTTTTTAAAGTTGATGTTAAAATAGGTTAAAGGACAAGTGAATTTCATTTGTCCATAGTCTAAAACCAAGTACTATTTCTGACTTGATATTTTGATCTGGCATAAGTAATTGTTGGCAAAGTTAAACTTTAACCTTGTTATCTTCAGGGAATTAAAATATTCATTTCTCAAGGGACACCATAACCTCTAGGTCACGAGGGATCAAGGGGTTGACCAAGTACTTGGAACCTTTACAATTCACTTAGCTATGAAAATGAATAAGACAATATCTCTGTCTAACAGTTCATACATCAAGATAACAGGAAATGTCAGGAATGTAGAACCAATAAGTGGGCTAAAGTTGAGAGGTAATGTGATTAAAAGAGAAACAAGACAGATGTGAAGAGGTCAGGACTCAGCTGGAATCTTCTCTGAGTGTAGAAACTTCTATAGCTTGTGTTTCTAGATTTTATATATATATATATGTATATATACGTGTATAAATATTAGTTGGAACAGGTACCAGGAGGCATGAACTTGTGTGTCTAGCATATAGTATTTAAGCTTCTGCTTATTCAAAATTGAAGAAAAATAGTACCTGTGTCATGCTACAGGACAATGGTCTGTACCCTGTCACTTGTATTTTAAATCAATGCTGATTGGCCAGTAATCAGAAAGTATAGGCTAGGCCACCAGGCAGGAAGTAGAGGCAGGGCAATGAGAATTCTGGGAAGAGGAAAATTTCAGTCTGCAGTTGTCACCCAGAGAGGAAAACAGACTCATGGTGTGGGGGAATTGTCTGTATTCTGTCAATCATGTTTTAAATAAACATTGATTGGCCAGGCAGGAAGTATAGGCGGAAAAACCAGACAGGAAGTAGAAATGATGCAATGAGAACAGGAGAATTCTGGGAAGGAGGAAGTTGATTCCTCCCACTCCTAACCAGATCACTGAAGCAGCAGGATGTGATCTATCCCACTGAAAAAGGTACTGAGCTACATGCCCACATAGATCAGAAAAATGAGTTAATCAAGATGTGAGAGTTATCCAGTGAGAGGTTAGAGCTAATGGGACAATCAGCTTTTATAATTTATAGAGATCTCTGTGTGATTTTATTTGGGGCTTGCTGGCTGATTTTATTTGGAGTACCAGGCAGAACAGAAAACACAAACA